TAGATCTATTTATCGTTCAATCTCTAAGCGAAATCTTGACCAATCTGTAGTTCCATTTGTCAGCGCAGGTTTCGCTCTTTTCATAACTATATTTTCCTTAAGTTAAGGAATAACCACCGAATGATCGGAGTCAAGATCATAGTTATCATGTACCTCGATGAAATTTTTCGCAATCCGTTTTGTTATGAAGAAATCTATTAAATCTGGACACTTATTAACATCGGTTGGCCAATACATTGGCTTCGCAGCAGAGTGAAAAAGCTGTCCCAAGCTCTCTTCCTCTAGTTGAGGTGTGTGCTTGGCGTAAAAGTCACCCCCAAATATAAATCTATCACCCAGGTCTGTCAGAACGTTTTGAAATTCTAAAATCCGCCATAATTTTAAATCTGGGGTGACAATACAATGCAGCCACTCTAAATTTTTGCTTAGTCGAAGTGATCTGAACCGCCGTCATTTGCATTCCCTCGGTTTGCATCTGGTGCAGATCGCAATGTACCACATTTTCTTTTATTATTATCGCCGTTCCGCCCTTTGCTATATTTGCAGGATGGTTCGATTTGTAAATTCTATAACCTGGAAACCGAATCCTGCTTCTTGAGGTCATATGTGTTTCAGTTACGAGGCCCACGTCTAAGTTCTGTGTATGAAGAAAAACTTCAAGCATGTGTCTTTTATTTGCAATACCATTGCATTTCCATGTTGCTATTTTAAAATTACCTCGTGCCATCATTTAGCAAGCCTTTTTGTACTCGATTTTTCCCTTCGCTCTCTAAAATGCTCAATCTCTGAGAGATTTTGTCCATCATTTCATTGCATTTTATACAAAACATTCACGTCATTAGTTTTCGTTTGGAGAACGTCCTTATATATTACATCTTTTGAGACTATTCTCGAGGTTGTTTTTGTTCTGATTTCTATGTTTTTATAGTTCCTTATATAGTTACAAGGCATCCCCTATAGTTTGCTGGGTGGGCCTCCAAATAATTTGAACACTTTGCTGCAGTACTCTTTAGCTTACTACAATCTGATGTTAAGTGCCTGCTGTTCCAGTTGGCTAATCCTTTTGTGTATGTCAGCATTCTGATCATCACTTTCTTTGTCTTGAGCTTTACTCATGTTCATATCCTTATTGGTCTGTGGAGCTTGAATGTTCGGTAGTCCACCTTCTATATTTCTATTCTTTTCTAAAATCCGCACATCAGATGTAGGTGGTGAACGCCGGGTTTTCGCGTTCCCCCTGAACGGATCAATCAAATGCAATAAATGGCTCTCCCCAGAATCCGTAGACCCGACCTCCGAAGAGGGTGAATTCTCCAACGTAGTTGAATTACCACCAAGCTAATCTAAAAAATTTCAAGTAAATCGGTTGAATATTTTCTTTAAAATGGTCAAAAATGTAAAACAGGCCCGATAAAAAGTGCAGTTCAGCCGAACTTGAGATACACGCGCGCAGACACAGATCGAAAGACCGACAGGTTTCTAAAAATAGTTTACTTACACTTCCCTACTTGAATTTTAATTTCGGTCATTTGAATCTTCTAAAATTAAATATAGAAAATATGGTAGAAGGAATTTTAAAGGCAGAAAATTTAAAATCCAAACAAATACCTTGCTATGCTTGGCATGTGAAAAAACCAAAATTTCTTAAACATCACCTTTTAAACAAAACCTTTTAAACATCATTTAAGAAAAACACAAAATTCATGAAAAATAGTATATTCAGATATATGCGGATCCATGAGTGTAAGCTCCTTAGGTGGAGTTAAGTACTTTGTTTCTTTCATTGACGATGAATCAAAATATGTCCAAGTTACATTTTGAAAAATCTTTCAGATTTATTTGGAGCCTTCAAGAGTTATCAAAAATTTGTTGAAAGAGAAAGTGGGTGTAAAATAAAGTGTTTGAAAAGCGATATCCAAAGAGTTTAATAATTATTTACAAAGCTTTGGCGAAAATTATCAGTTGAATATACCCCTCAACAAAACGGAGTAGCTGAAAGAGCAAATCGAACCCTAATAGAAATGACTAGGTGTATGATAATGAATCAGTTGTCCCCAAAACTTTGGGGCCTAAGGCTTTAAATACTGTGGTTTTCATAAGAAACAAATCTCCTTCATCTAGTTTAATAGATGACAAAACTCCATACGAAATCTAGTTTTATCATATACCGAAAAGTGATCAGTTAAGAACATTTCGAATTAAAGTTGTCGCGTTATTTAAAGGTCCCTAAAGATCTTAATTGGAGCCGAAAGGTGATATGCATACTTTTGTATGCAATTTGGTATGACACAGAACTTGGAATATGAAAAGTTAAATAGTTATTAGCAAGAACTTGGTATGATACAGACAACTGCTGATCAATGTTTTTATGATAAAAACACTGACTCACATTGAATAATTATACTTGTCTACGTAGGTGATACGCTTTTAGCAACAAATTCTGAAAAACTTTTATTTGAAACAAAATCGCAATTATTAAATAAATTTCAGATGAAAGCTCTTGGAAAGGTTAAAAATAATTTAGGTTTTAACATAAAAAGAGAAAAATAAAAAGAACAAAAACATATTGAAGTAATATTATATAAATTTAATATGTCTGAAACAAGTGCTGCTTTTACACTACTAGAAATAAATACGAAATTATTTTACAATAGCAAAACTATTTTTGATTAAGAAAAAAGAGATATGTTGAATAAACCATTTCGGAAAGTAATTGGCGCATTAAGTTATTTCGAACACAACACGTCCAGATATATATACGTTTCAGCGTAAATTTTCTTGTCTGATTTACAAATTAACAAAAAAAAATACATTGGGTATCAGTCAAACGAATATTAAAATATCTAATTGGAACAAAGTGTTATAGAATAAAATATGAAAAACAGAACAAAATTTAAAAGTTTATAGTGGTGCAGATTGGGCAAATGATTAGGAGATAGAAAATTATGTTCAGGATTCTTGGTAGTGATGGCAGCAGATCCAATATGTTGGAAGTCAAGAAAAGAAAAATCATTGCATTGCCTACCATGGAAGCTGAATACATGGCTCTTTCAGAAGTTTTTCAGCAATATTTTTTCGTAATTTATTAAGAGCTAACATTTGAGGAACACGTTAGTAAAGAAACTATTATCTATTGTGATAATAAAAATGTAGTTAATTAAAGCAACTATCAACCTAATTACAGTGGATCGAAACATGTTGATATACGCTATCACTTTTGTAATTAAAAGGCTAATTAGGGTCAAATTAGAGTAGGACATTTACCAGGTGTTGAAATGCCAGCAGATAAATTGACGAAAAGTTTATCAAAAAGAAAATTAAATAATTGTATTGAGTTAATTAACATAAATTAAATTTTAGAAATTAAATATAAATGTATTTGGTATTAAATCATAACTTTAAAAGAAAAAATTTGAATTGAAAATTTAAAGTTTGAGAGTATTGTTTTTCTTGAATTTTCAAAGACATATAGATGTGTGGAAATCATCAATAGGGGGAATGTTAGAATTATTATTTAATCTACTCTAATTAGTTATCGATGCTCTTTATACATGTTAATATTATTGTGAATATACATTATAATGATAGATATGATCATGTATCTTTATGTATATGTAATAATGTCCAATTATTATATTATATATAATTGCTTCACAATTACTTTACTCTTTTTAGCACTTTTCCAAAAAATTTTTGAAAAAAGTGCTTATTAGTTTCACTCTGTCCGTCCGTCCGTCCGTCCGTCCGACCACCCGTCCGTCCGTCTGTCCGTGTGTCTGTTTACAAAACTTCTACACCCTTGAAGATAGAAAGCTGAAATTTTATATGTACATAGATCTTTACTACAAACTTATTTCCGTAGAACAAAATTTTTACCTATCTCTCCCCCTCTAGAAGTTACACCCCCCCAAAACACTAAAAATGGTCTTTTTTAACTATTTGTTGCAATGAAACCATAAGCATTTTTGAAATTTGGCAAAGTCATAAAGGCAGCGGCTTGCTTCCCCTAGCGTGGTACACTATAGTTAAACTTTAGAAAAACAAAATGGACGTTCAAATTTACCGTTATCTGAAGTCTTTTTTTTCCAAATTTTTTATTTCGTTTTTCTTCTAGACCCCAGCTTGTAGAAGCTTGAAATTTTATGGGCTTTTAGACATTAGCAAATAGTTTATTTCGTTAGAAGAAAATTTTTTTCCATTTCCACCCCCTCTCAAGTTATCGCCTCTTGAAATTTGAAAAATTTGAATTTTTGACACCTTATATTTCCGAAACCGCAAGCTTTTTCAAATTTCTATAAACACAAAAAGCTAACGGTAAATGCCATAACATTAAAAAATATAATTATTTTTCTTAACTCACACAATTTATCCTTAAAATCGAGCATTATGTTAACCCCTCTTTATATTAATTTTTGCTTTATTTCAAAGACTGCATAAATCGTTCATTCTAAATATATGCAATCCTAGAAATATCTTTGTATATGAATGAAAATAATTTTAATAGTGTGATAAATAGCTATAAATGCACTGTATTTAAAAGCAGAATTTTCACTTGTTGAAGGGAAAAGTGCTACAATACAAACCATTGGTTTGACCCAACTTTATTATAATGTTAGTTTAGTTTCATAGAAGACTTTGTACTATAAAGAACATAAAAAGTTATGTAGAAATTCAACATATATTTATCTTTTTTTTATTTTCTTTCAAAAAGTAAGTTGACTGTGGCTTATATTATCCGAAGTGAAATGATTGAAAATCCAAAAAAATGTTTTTGGATTACTAAATTTTTGCAATTGAAGTCGAATATATAAAAAAAAAACAAAAATTTGAATTATACAAAAATTTTCTATATTGCATATCATGATTTACCATGATTTATATCTATATTTCAATATTGCATATCATTATGATTTATATATTATATATGTGGATAAGCAACATAATAAATTAATGTTTTCTCAAAATTTGTATTTTATAAATTTGTAAATTTGTAAACTTACATGTCATAACCATAACACTCAAAGCAATGCCGATCACTGGCCATTACAGGTGCCACTGCACGCAATGAATGCACTATAAGCCAAGAAATAGCTCCAAACAAGCGATCAGTAACATCTTTTCCTCTTGTACCTTCTAAGTACAGTCGTAAATTTTGAACGGACCATTTTCCACCATGCAAACTATTATATTCGCCCTATGAAATATGTATATGCCAAATGAAATTCTAATAATATGCAAGAGATTAATAAAATATACAAACCCCATGTTTTTGAACGCTAACATTTGTAAGATGTACATACATATTATCCAGCTCAGTTACGCTTGTGTCATATTTAACTGTACAAAATCGGCAAAACCCTAATTTATAAAGATAAGCTTTAAGTGGTCTAAATGATGTTACAAGTACATATAACCGAAGGTCAAATTTTTTTCCTCCAATTAGAAGTGGGTTATCAATATATCTGGAAATTTAATAATCACTGATTTAGCAATTATAAGCATCAATTAATTATATTTTTTAATAGAAATGTAAGGTTGTCACCTTACATTTTACACAAAATTCAAGTTTTATAAATTTGTAGAAGCGATAATTTGAGAGGGGTCGGAGGTGGGGAAATTTTTTTTCTAATGAAATGAACTATTTATTAGTGCCTAATAGCTGTTATTCATAATAAATATCATCCCCCTACAATGTACAGTGTAGAAGAAAAACGGTATCAAAAATTTGGAAAAAAACGGACTTTAGATAACGATAAATTTTAAAGGCCAGTTTTTCGTTTTAAAGTTAAGCCAATATATTTTTGTGTTTGCAAAATTTCAGAAGTGCTTATGATTTCACTGTAATAAATGGTTAAGAAATGCCATTTTTAGGTTTTAACGGGCGTATATAACTTTCGCAGGGGGGACATATACAAAAAATTTCTTACACGGAAATAAGTTCCTAGCAAATATCTATGTACATGTAAAATTTCAGCTTTCTACCTTCAAGGGTGTAGAAGCTTGTAAACATGTCAACGGTCGGACGGACAGAAAAGTACTAAAAATGCCATATATATCTGGTAGTTATTACAGAAATTATTTTCCGAAATTTTGCGAACTTAGAAAGGTACTAAAATAATTCTTAATGTTTTATGTCTTCGAAGTATTCCAATTGAAATTTGTTTTTATTTTTTTGGTGCAATTTTTGAATATTCTTTGTAACTCTTAGTACATTTAGTATGTTTTTAAAAGCGATATTAATTTAAATAATTACTTTTTTGCTCCTTTTTAGCAGTTCCCCAAAAAATTTTTGAAAAAAAGTGCTTATTAGTTTCACTCTGTCGGTCCGTCCGTTCGTCTGTCCGTGTGTCTGTTTACAAAACTTCTACACCTTTGAAGATAGAAACCTGAAATTTTGTATGTACATAAATCTTTACTAGAAACTTATTTCCGTAGAACAAAATTTTTACCTCCCCCCCTCTAGAAGTTATGGCTTCCTGCTATATTTTGGCAAGAAGAGCATTTTATGTTCTTATTTTATTAAAAAAAAATATTTTAAAATTTGGATAAAATTTTTGTATTATTATTATTTTATTTTTAAATTGTTAACTTCTATAAAACTTTAATTATCATTACATTATTATTACTTAATTAATATTATTACACAATTATTATTACATAATTAATTATTTTTATATTTAACTTTTAAAAACACTTGCTTATTTTAAATCAACTTAACTGCACTGTGACCATTTGTAGAGTAAGAATATAAGTATAGATTTTCAAATCATTTATACATATTATAATGAGAGAAAAATGAATTTTACAGTTAATTCATTTTTCGAAATTAAACTAAATTACTAATGTGTAAGTGAATCATTATGTAGGTAATTTAAATATACATAATTAAGCCAAGTTTAAGAGAGTATGATAATATTCAAGAAAGTGTTTTTCAATAATTTAAAAATCAAGTCAGGAGTGTAGAACCTTTTGTGAGAAAGATCTCAACAAAGTTATACCTCCCCGAAACCCTAAAAATGGCCTTTTTTAACTATTTATTGCAATGAAACCATAAGCATTTTTCAAATTTTGCAAACGCAGAAAGGCAGTGGCTTGCTTCCCCTAGCGTGGTATATTATAGTTACTTTATGAAAACAAAATGGCCGTTCAAATTTACCGTTATCTAAAGCCTTTTTTTTCCAAATTTTTGATGTCGTTTTTCTTCTAGACCCCAGCCTGTAGAAGATTGAAATTTTAGGTAAAAGCTAATTATTAGATATTAACAAATAGTTCATTTCGTTAGCAGAAAATTTTTTTCCATCTTCACCCCCTCGTCAGTTATCGCCTCTTGAAATTTGTAAAATTTTAATTTTTGACACCTTATAATTTCCGAACATCCAAGGTTTTTCAAATTTCTATAAACACAGAAAGCTAACGGTAAATTCCATAACATTAAAGAATATAATTATTTTTCTTAACTCACTCGAGCATTATGTTAACCCCACTTTATATTAATTTTTGCTTTATTTCAAAGACTGCATGTATGCATCATCCTAAATATATGCAATCCTAGAAATAATTTTGTATATGAATGAAAATAGTTTTAATAGAGTGATAGGTATACATACTCGTAGACTGTAAAAAAGAATTTTTACTTGTTGAAGGGAAAAGTGCTACAATACAAACCATTGGTTTGACCCAACTTTATTCAATTTCTTATTCAAAAATTTTTCCATTTAGTTCAGCATTCTTCCATTTGGAAGACAGGAAATGTTGGCTGCGTTACAAATTAAAATTTTAGGTGCACTTTTCAAAGAATTTACCAACCGCAGTTTTAAAAATTTAAACTTTTAATTAAAAAAAATATAGAATCAGTTAAGCTAAAAAACTTAATCAATTTCCTTCACAAAAATAATTTTTTCCATATAAAAACATCTCTTCCATATAAATTTGGAATTTATTTTTGATTAACTCTCAGAGCTTGGTGGCCTGATAGTAACATACATATGCCATTGAACAGGATTATAATCAACCTAATTTCTTTTAATTAAATATTTTTTAATTACTCTTTCCAGAAAATTCGAACTTCAGAAAGTAAAACTGTACTTAAATCTAGGTGTGCTTGCTGAAATATTACTATCTTTCTTAAATGGAAGAGTCCTGTTTAAAAGTCTCTAATAGGTTTATTCGGTTGATATACAAATAGATATAAAAGTGTGAGGTACAAATACATATGTATAAAAAATTTTAATAAGAAGAGTTTAATGATAAAATTTAAACTTTCGTTACAGCAACTCAAATTCTGGTAATAAAATCAATAATCTTGGATTTATACATTATAAGGGTAACAAACGCAGTTTAGTTTCTGAAATGTAATTTTTTTTAAATATGTTAAATTTTGGAAAGAGGAGTTATTCCTTCTTATATTAAATATCTACAATAAATTAATGAAATTTAAAAAATTTTGAATTAATTAATTTTCGATAATAATATTTTTTTGTTTTTTTTTACCGAGAGGAAGGGAGAAAAATCTCGAGACACATTGGAACTTTAATACACTAAAAAATACCCTCCTCAAAAGTCGGAAACGACTAAACATTAATTTTGCTCAAACCTTTTTGATTATTCACAAGCTTTTGATCTGGCACAATAGCGTACTAAGTACTCATTTTTCCAGATGAAAAACATTAAACTAACTCGAGAGGTCTCGTACGTTTTAGTCTCCTAACAAAATTTTGATTGTCAACCAATCGACCCGCCTGGATGTTGACAAGATTGGATAAACGCATTTTATGATTGGCTGCTTGCTTTTTAATTACGTCTGTGACATTTAGGATCGTGAGATCCTTGTATATATCGGCATTACGGACATACCAGTGGGCGTTTACAATATCCTGTAATACCCTATTTTGAAATTTTTGAATATATTGGATATGAGTCTGCGCCGCGCATCCCCATAACTGACTACCGTAAGTTCAGACAGGCTTAAATATTTGATTATATGTCAAAAATTTGTTGTATTTTGTCAATTTAGAACGCCTTCCCAAAAGCTATTCAAACTTTCTGTATTCCTCCTCGAGTTGAGATCTCTTTTTCTTTATGTGCTCCTTCCATCTGAACTTTGAGTCCAACGTCATTCCCAAATTCTTCGCCGTGTTTGCGGACGGAATCACGACGCCATTTATCCGAACCGAATATGAATTGTGAATTTTTTTATTACTGAAATTCACGTGTACTGATTTCACCTCGTTAAGTTTTATAATACCTGATATCGCTAAGCGAACAGTACCCCTCTTCTTGTTTAACTCGAAATACTCTATTAGTCAGGTAAGATTCGAGTACGTTAACATACTGCCTTAGTAGTTGTTGTCTAAGTTTTTTTATTAATCCATAATGCCAAACTTTATCGAAGGCCTTGGGAAAAGTGTCTCTAGCAGTTTTGAAATTATCGGTAACAATAAGATTGGTATATAAGATGTCGCCTCGTCTATAGGTTTTCCCTGGTTTGCGCAGCATAACTATCTCTGTAACTTTCCAAGTATCAGGCACGTAATTAACCCTCATACACGGATTTATTAGGCGCGTAGAGATTCAAAAGCAGATTCCTCATTTTCATGCACGGCTTGGCTGTCATGCGAGTAGAATATGTCGGCCAAATGATCCGCAAACGCATTTACTTTGTCTTTGTCAGTTTTTGCAAACGTTCCACCTTTGTTTTTAATAGGAGCGAGATATTTGATAGGTTGCTTCATTTTCTTTGTTGTCCTCCATTTTGAGGAATTGGTTTTCTCACACGCCGTCAAATTTTGAACATAATTAGCAACCGAATCCTCCTTGTGTTTTCTAATACAGCGTCTTAGTTGCTGCGATTATATCTGGTTTTATCAGTAGGACGCGTTTGCTGCCACCTCTTTTTGCTAGTATATGTGGGGGGATAGTTAATGCCTCCCCTTCTAATAACATTAATTTTCGAACTACTCCAAGCCGCATTTTAAATAATTTTAGTTAAGTTTTGAGCATCCTCGTCTATGTGCTGGGTCGCTCCTATTCTTTTCTATCTTCTATTTGTCGTTCAATCTCTAAGCGAAATCTTGACCAATCTGTATTTCCATATGTCAACGCAAATTTCGCTCTTTTCATTACAATATTTTCGTTAAGTTCAAAAATAACCACTAAATGATCGGAGTTAAAATCATAGTTATCATGTACCTCGACGAAATTTTTCGCAATCCGTTTTGTTATGAAGAAATCTATTAAATCTGGACACTTATTAACATCAGTTGACCAATACATTGTCTTCGCAGCAGAGTAAAAAAGGCACCCCGCGCCGCCAATTGCTATTCTGAGTTCTCTTCCTCTAGTTGAGGTATGCCTTGTGCCCAAATGAGTGTGCTTGCCGTTAAAGTCACCCCGCAATATAAATCTATCGCCTAGTGCGGCCAGAACGTTTTGAAACGATAATTTAGAACTAAAACAAAGACCA